GCTCATTCACCATTTTGTACTATCAGGTAACCTAATTAGTTCCTGGGGTTGCTGTATATCGCACATTGCCATGGATGTTGTTGATCGATAGCGATTGTTTGTTACCTGTTGTCACTTTAGTACGAATCCTTTTTTTCTCACACACATAAAAAGTTGCTGAAAATTGTTACCTACCTTGTTTTAATAATTGAAAATGGCGACGAACCATTTCTTAATCGGTTATTAACCTGCGATAAAAAATGGATCTTGTATTCGAACTCTAAACGTTCGTATTATTGGTTGTCGCCTACTGATTCGGTACCACACACGCCCAAGGTTTTTTGCACCCAAACAAGGTTTTGTTGTGTGTTTGGTGGACAGCAACTGGAATTGTCCACTATGAGTTTTTGGAAAGAGGTCAAATCATCACTGCTAACTTGCATTATGAGCAGCTCCAACGAGTACAAGCAGCACTCATCCAGAAACAGCCTTCTTTGATCAATCGGTTGAAAGCGATATGCCTGGATAACGCCAAGCCTCATACCGCAAAAGTGACTCGAGAAGAAATTTCTGAACTCGGCCGGGAAACGTTACCGCACCCGCCATATTCTCCTGACACTTCGCCCAGTGATTATCACTTTTTTTGTCTCTTGACAACTGTATGAGGCACCGACTGTTCGCAACTCGAGATGGTGTAATAAATGCAGTCCGCCAATATTTTGTACTCCAAATCCAGGGAGTTCTACAATACCGGCATAGAAAAATTGGCTCCACGTTGGCAAAAGGTCATTGAATGTGATGGTAATTACTTCGACGAATAAATAGTGTCTTATTGTTTCTCAATAAAAATTGATTTTTTTCTACTATAAACCGCACGAACTTATTTGGTTAGCTGATATTTAGCTTAGGTTTATATTTTTTGTCGTCTCACTATCGTCCATTGCGACTTAGTGGTCTATTATGATTCATACCTATTTATACTTTTTTCTAACAGTGAAAAAGTTCATTGGCTTGTTAGAAGATGTATCAGATACTATGCTTGCAGCACTGCGCCATTACGTAGGCTGAATCTCTATTATACATAATATGCTGAAACAGTACTAAATGCAAGGAATGAATACCTAGGACTTTTCTTCACATGACGCATGATCACATAGTTTCGGTATATGTTCCAGTTTTCCTGCCACTATGTTACAGTACAGAAGCAAACTGTAAATATTTAGCTACGACGTGTTCCTAGATCATATACTGAGTGATAAGAAAAGGTAAACACCTACGTATGCTTATTAGAATTCAAGAATTTTTTACATATCGATTTATCTTGCCATGAACAAGTGATAAAATGGACAGGTTTTGCTGTTAAGTTTTTTTGGTGGATGCGTGTATTGCTTGGTGATAAAGAAGCATTCAGTTTTCGTACATTCACGGTGTTAGTTAAATGTTAAATTTGAGAAGCCTTTTGTGATTGCTCAAAATGCCTAGAGTGCGTAGAATTCGCCAGGTGGGTTGCGTGAAACCGGACTATCGATAAGAGAAGTTTCTAGGAGGACCAACAGATCCTTACGCAGGAAGACCGACGACAACGAGCAAGGGGTTCTGGACGTCCTAGAGAGACAAGACCGCCGGTTAAGGCTTCTGGCTCTGAGAGACCTTGGCCACCACGATCGCCTGACCTATCTCCAATTGAACATTTCTGGGAAATGATAGATCGCAGGCTCTTAAATTTGCAACACCCTCCACAGACTTCATCAGCTCTTACTATGAAGTTGCAGTAGCCTGGAATGAGATACTCCAACAGGATATCGACCTTCTTATCAGCACGATGCCCCGGCGTGTTAATGAGTGTATAAGAAATCATGGATCCTCAACACATTATTGAACCAGCTTCTGCAGTCATTGACGAATCAAGCTTAAAATTCAATCCTTTTACAAGTAAGGAATACTGAACACATATGCCAAAAATTATTGAAATCGGATGAACATACGAACATGTTTGCTTTTTTTTCTCACTCAGTATATATCAAAAAACTAGCCAAATCTTACGTATTTTTATACTAAAGCACATAATTGCTAGGTTAGATGTTGATCGGAGCTTTGTAATTACTTTATAAAAAAATTGAAAATTTGCTGTAAAATACATTGACCACTGCAGTAAAATTCTACGGAGCTTCATTGCGTACCAAAATAAGACTTTGGGTAATTGTTACGCTTTTCAACACTAAGTGACATGGACTTGCTAGAGTCAAACAACACCAGACTTGCCGGAGTTTTTTCAGCAGCTCCGTTTGGACAATTAAAACCAACCACAGTGCTACTTATTATTTAACTGGTCAAGCTATCAAGAAGAAATTCGAAATGTACCAGTATGTACGTGTATAAACGTATAAACAGGTAAGAAGTAAAAGTAGCAGTTGAATATTTCAAGATAGCGGCTGAGGGCCGTTTTGGAACATTTTTTAAAATGGAATAGGAGGTCGTGTGATACCTCATTTTGATGCTCCTGATGAGCATCAAACAGGAAAGCTGTCAATGTTGAGCGTTTTCGTACCTATGGTCTATCCAATTTCAAGATAGAGTGAAAACTAAGCAACGTCGCCTGTAATATTCAAAAGATCATGCAGCAGCAGGTGGACTGGCTATTGGCGAATTAATGTCGACGACGCCGTACCGCTGCCGCTCCGGTGCGCGTTTAAGCAGTGACATCGAGCATCGTGCTACAGGGTGTAAATGTTATAGTATTCATTACTGAAATGGGTAATAGGGGGGGGGGGTCAAAATCAAGTCAAAAAGTTCATATGACCCATGGTCCAAAGGTCAATAGATTTTTGTCTAAATGGCTTTATAGTTTACAAGTGCTTTATATCGACCACAACCACCACAATCTTACTAATTTTTATAGTCTAATCTAAAACGTTTTTAAATTGGGTAATTAACAAATAAATGGCATTAAGTTTTTCTAAGTTAAGCCAAAATTTGTAGTCAATAATTAAGTGAGTTTCATTAAATTAAATATTTAAAACACACATAAAAACAGCGCTTCGGTCTTTCATCACTCTTATCGAACCGGCAATCGATCGCAAACAGTAACAGTGGTTAGTTATCGTTTTCCATAGATAACTTGCTTTATCGTTTTGTCGAGCACAACATCGGGCGTGTTGTTTTGTTTTTGTTCGCGTACGTCGTCGTGTTTATTTACAATGTTCTCGGATCAAGAGTTCGTCGACATGTTGTTAGTTTACGGTGAAGCTCGTCAGAATTCAAATGTTGCAGCTCAAATTTATCGCGACAGATTTCGCCCACGGGTACACCCAGACATGAAGGACATTTGTGCAAGTGTATCAAAGACTTCGAGATACAGGAAGTGTTTAGCCCACTAATATTCGCACTCGTGAAAGACAGGTTACTGTAGAGCAGGAGGAACAAATTTTAAATATCGTGGAAATCAATGCAGATATCAGCACTCGGAAATAAGGCCACCGCGTAGGACTATCGCATACCATAGTCCATAGAATCCTACGGGAAACTTTTCTTTATCCCTACCATGTACAACGAGTGCAGGCCTTGTTAGCATAAGACTATCTGCGCAGACTCACAATCTGTCAGTAGTCTTTGCACAAAAACATTGAAAATCAGGATTTTTTTAAAAACATTCTAGCGACGGATCAATGTACTTTTACGCGAGACGGGATATTACATTTACATAATACTAAATATTTGGGCGGGTATTCTTGACGATCAGGTAATTGGCCCTTTCGAGTTACCCCCAAAGTTGTCAGGAGAAGATTACATTAGCTTTCTAGCCAATAACCTACCAGAACTTCTGGAACAGACCTTAGACAACATGCCATTACAACGGAGACAGAATTTGTGGTTTCTTCATGACGGGGCACCACCACACATTTTTAGAGGCGTCATTCAGTATTTGAATGCACATTATCCAAATCGCTGGATCGGTCGAAATGCTCCTGATCCTCGAAAATTTACAGCAAGATCTCCTGACCTCAATCCGATGGATTTCTGGTAATGGGGAGAACTCAAAGGGATGGTTTATGGGGCTGGTCCAATAACAACTGAAGCACAACTTCGCGAAAAAAATTTTAATGCGGCTGATATAATAGATGGACAACTTCGAGGACCTAGAGTAACAAGAAACTGGATTCATCGTAATGAAGATTGTGTGGAAAGTGTTATTATTGTTACTTGTTATAGTTATATACTGTTAGCCAAGATGTCCAGTACAGACACTGCAAATGAGACTTCAAGCTATTGTCTGAGTCCACCTAGAAGATGGTCAAAAAGAAGCATTTGAGTCTTGAGATAAAAGAAGTTATTCTAAATGTGTTTAAGACAGAGAGTCAGGAAAAATAGACATCCACTGTCGATGAAGTCGCTTGGACGGTTTCTGAAAAAGTTGGAGTAACTTGCGCCTCCGTTTATAATGTTTTACTGGAATACAAGGAAAATCATACATTTTCCGAAACAAACACGAATCAGAATCGTCAAAGCATTGTAAAATTTATTGATGAGACTGACAAACATGCAATAAGGAGAAAAGTGCACGAGTTGTTTTTCAAGAATGAGATACCTATGGTAGACTGAGTACTGAGAGTAGTGAATGAAGATGCTTTATTGCCAAGTTTCAAGCGATCCACGTTTCACAAATTACTGAAATATTTACGGATCTCAAAGTGCTCATTGATGAGGCTTTGAAAAGAATTACAGCCGATAAATGGGAGACATGTGTTCGGCATGTCACATCAAAAGTCGAGACAAGACTGTGCGAGCTGGAAAACAACTTGTAGGCACAAGTCGAGCCACTTATAACTAATATTGTCAAAAGTGATACCAGTGATGAAGATGAAAGTTTCACAAGCTCATGAATTTAATTCATAGGTATTTTATTATCCTTATAACTGTGCATATTATCACCTCCGTTGTCGAAATATACTTGTGCCGGAACCGCCTGGCTTTCCTTTTGTTGTGGTGTAAATACATATTTTTAGTTATTAAATTATTGCAAGGGGTTAATTGTTTTCGATCATTCAATAATCATGGCGTTATATCAACCTCAACACCCCGCTAGTCTGCCGAGTCCGGCAGTTTTCCTGCTAGAGATGCTAGAAGAAGAGTTGCAGTCTAACACCCATCGGTTACATCAGCAAGTAGCTATCGCTACCGAGTATTTTTTTAGCGGCATTTTGCTTGTGAAACATGTTTAACTAAGTACCCAACTAGCAAAGTAGTGGTATAAGCATTTGGTAAAAGAACCGTTCAGCCATAAAAGCTCTCTATTCTTGATGCCTGAACACCAAAATGCTGGCTTAATGTTGTGTGGAATGCAAATTTGCTTTCTGCAACATATTTGCTCTAAAATGAGGTGTTTAAAATATTCTTATAGCATAGTTATACAACACCTTATAGGGCAAATTTTTAACTGTTGCATACACGTTTATACAACTATTTTATACGGCATATTTGCGAGTTAGTCAATGTGGTTGTGTTGTGGCATCCATGGTAACGTTTATAAAACAAACCCGAGCCTTGTTGTTTTGCTGTGCAATTTACTACTTTAGCCAACAAATTGCTCCCAACGGAACCACTTATACAACTGTTGTTTAGTAACTGTTAAAGGCTGTACATATGCTAAATATGTTGGTAAACAACTTCACCATAACCTAACTTTCTGCTGTCATATTTTCGTTGAAATGCCATAAAAAATGTTTTAAGACAAACAACGCATGCATATTGGTTTAAAAGGTTTTATCAACTGTTCAAACAGAAGATATAGATCTGGTACAAATTCTGGGTAAACCATTCGACTCTGTCGGTATTTCATTTCAGACATTTGTCAAACTGTTGTATAACACCTGCAGGCAACACCAAAATATTCTAATAACCTAAAGACAACATGGACGATGCCATGATTGTACACAACCACCCGCCATATTGGGCAAAGATTTATTCCTCTATTTAATATTAAATAATTATGTTTCAGTTCGAGATTACAGATATAAACTGATAAAAATTAGTGTAACTGTGTCTAAATATAGGATTTGTGGAAGATTTAACGCAGACAAGTTCAGTTTTCCATCTTAAAAATCTAGACATACTTTTGCTCATTGTCAAAATATGAATCAAATACGAAACCCGTAGAAATTGGGTAACTAATTTGCACGATAATCACAATAAAATTTGCTGCGCAAGTAATTCAATAGCCCTATATCACAGTGTAGAAGTTATCATATACCTGTGTATGAAATTCACTATGGCCGATATGTAAGTAAACAAGATGACTGTAATGTGTTAGTTATATATTCTTCACTTCGTCTATACAATACATAAGAAATAGTTTGGTTGCAATAAAGTAGAATCACGTAACAGAATAGTTGTATAGTTGACAAAAACTGAATCTTGCACTGACGCAAATGTCCTATAGCGGCTGCAAGAGGCTTACACTTTTGTTTTATAACTGTTACCTGCAGCCCTTATACAACCTCTTAAATGACTGAAGTGTCCTATTAGGTGTGCCCATTGCGCTTGTATAGCTTTTCTAAGAGGGTTTTGCCAATGTCCTTACAGTATACAATGCTGTTTAAGGAATACTGTATAATCGTTCTTGCAACTCTAATATGAGTGATAATTGTTAGTTGGGTAATAGCATCTGTAGTCAACAAGATGTTGGAATCATTAATTCATCACAAGGCACCCCTGAATACGTCCCTGAACAATTCAGGCGTCACACGACTGAGTTTATATCACTTTATCTATGGCTTAGATGGAGTGTAGTGCCGCTTATAACTAAAAACTTTATAGTATGTTATATCAACCCTCTTATTTTTGAAGGGCCTATCTGACTATACGATAAATTATACTAATTATGTGACATCCACTTGAAGAAAAAGTGCCAGATGTTGATGATTCATTGCAATAAGATGTTCTACTTTCTTTTATATTTTTTCTGCCTCCCTCTTGACTAGACTATTCCACTGCCTTGACTTGGCTGCCTTGATACAAGTGCCCTCCTCCGTAAAACTCGAGTCATCGTCGATGTTAGTTCTCACAGTTCTAGATCCGATGGTCGCGGATAGATAGCTGCTAGGTGGTTTGGTTTCAAATAGATGCTGTCCCTACCTTAGTAGATATCAATTCTCGATCGAAGGTTTATAGCCAGCATACTGCATCACACTATTGACCTCACAACATATAAGATATCTAACCTTTTAACCTTTTGTAAGGTAAATGCTAAATACATTACAACCTCATTGACCCATTAAGGGATCATCAGATCGTCTAACCGTTTCTAATTTTATGAATGGACTGTCACTAACCTACGCTTAAACGATCTTCACGACCCTGAGTTTTATTATTTCAACATAAAGAGCCATCTGATACAATATACAAAAAATTAACCTCTCCAGCGGCATTGAAATCCTATTGACTCATCAAAGGCGCCCTTTTTAAATTTATCCATTGGCTGTCACTGACCCACGTTTATACAATCTTCACGCCCCCGACAGTTTCGAGACAAATGCGGGCGCAGTAAACTGCGCCTTCGTATATTTCAAGGGCCCCATCAGCGTTTATGACTGATGGTGTAATATGAAAGACGATGCTGTAGGCAAGGGAAGGGGCATTTTAGCCTGAGGTTAGATACTCTCAGTCCAATGCTCCAGACATCTAGCAAAGGCCTATGGGCTACCCCGGGGTGTCTCCTTGGTGAACAGGACGTGATCAGTAGTGTCGATGTGTATGAAGCCTAATGAACTGCCAACTTAAATGAAATTATACACAGTTGTATGCAACATACATGTTGCGTTTATTTTACTAATAAACTTAAATAAACTAATAACTAATACATACTACACGACTACATCCATTCCTGCCAATCGAAGAGGTTTGAAAAATAAACAAAATTTGTCACATACGATTTAATGAAGGTAACTAACAATAAAAAAGCAGCGCACTATTTTGGACAAAAACATGTCCAGATAAAAAATGCGTGTTCAGTGAGAAGGCTGACACTCAGACTCACTGACAATTTTTATAATATTTGGTGTATAATTTGATATCGCCATTCGAATACAATTATCCAAATGTACATCTGTAAAATGTTGATTACCGTATTTGTTTTTAATAAGCTTCATATTTCAAGGCAACACGAAATGAAACCGAATATTAATCTTTACTTACTGACAGCCAGATACACTTTGTACAGGGTTTGTCCGGAAAGTAATAGGACTGAGTCGATTTAAAAAAAATTATTGAGCCAATCGCTACAATTCTTTAAAAACTTTCAAAATAGGCTCCTTCTGCCTTGATGTAGCGCTGCCAGCGCAATTTCCAAGCATTGAAGACGTCACGGAAGGCATTCTCCAGAATAGCCTTGAGAGCCGCGGTGCATGCTGCTTGGATCCCCTCTATCATCTCAAAATGCTTGCCTTTCATAAGCCTATTCAGGCGAGGAAACAAAAAAGTCCGGGGGGCACATCTGGGCTGTAGGGCGGCTGCGAAAGCGTTGGGATGCCGGCCTTGGTCAGGTAGCTGTTCACAAGAAAGGCGGTGTGAGCCGGGGCGTTGTCGTGGTGCAACTTCCAGCGGCTGCGATGTCTTGTCGGACCCGACTGACCCTTCGTTTGAGTCTCCTGAGCACTTCCACGTAAAACTTGGCGTTGACGGTTTGTCCAGGAGGAACAAATTCATGGTGGACGATGCCTTTGAAGTCAAAAAAGACAATGAGCATCGTTTTCACTTTAGATTTGCTCATTCTTCCCTTTTTTGGGCGAGGAGATGCCGTCGTGTGCCACTCAGAAGATTGCCTCTTTGTCTCGGGATCATACTTAAAGATCCGCGACTCGTCACCTGTGATTACGTTATTCAAAAATTGGGGGTCAATTTCACATATGTTCAAATTTTCTTGGCACACATCCACTGGTCGTCAGTGAGCACTTTTGGGAGACCATCTTCGCGCACACCTTGCGCATGTTTATATACTGAGTCACAACGTCATGAACCACAGATTTTGGTAAATTTAACATCTGGGCAATTAAACGAATACTTAGTCGACGGTCTGAGTTCAAAGCTTTGCGCACACGAGTCACATTATCGGTGTTTGTCGAAGTCGAAGGTCTTCCAGCACAGTCTTCATCAGCGACCTCTTCCCGGACCTCCAAAAAGGCCTGGTGCCACCGAAACACACCACTTCTTGCTAAAACAACACCTGGGTAAGCCTGCTTGATCATATCAAACGTCTCTGTCGCAGATATGCCGAGTGTCACACAGAATTTAATCGCGTACCTCAGCTCTAACGAACGCTGCATTTTCGGCTTGCACCACTTACAGAAACCCGTCGCGCGAAAATGCCTGTCCTGACTCTTCAAGTGCTCGGAGACAACTGACCAGCCGCTCATTCGTTAGATAGGAACGCCCTCTACCGAATCCAGTCGGTACGCGCACGCTCCGAAGTACAGTCATGGCGGAAGAAAATGAGTCCTATTACTTTCCGGACAAACCCTGTATTTGAGACTAATGGTTTTACAGCTAGATCATTTTGACACGCAATCACTTCCATTTCTGTGGCAGCGATGTCTTCGCTAAAATTCTGCGTAACAGAAGTTGCAAACTGTTGGATACCAATTTCCTTGAAACGATTTTTCAAGCTAGAGACTAGACTGGTTCTGATGGTGCCTGGTATCGCTTTCGATTAAGTTTTGATCACAAAACTCAAGCTTTTTGATAAACGTTTTTATATGAGAAACCAGTTGTTTCTCCCCTGAAGCTGCAAATGGAGTTCATTTAATTTTTCTGTGATATCCACAAGAAAACCAAAATCTCTAAGCCAGATTGAATTTTCCAGTTATGGAATCGGTTCATCACGTTGTTTGAAAAATTAAAACATTTCAGCACTCGTCCCTACTTAACCATCAAACTTCAGAGTGAAGAAGTAGTTCCCCGTATTGACAGTAATTTCATCGGCCAAGGTTTTGAATAATCGTCTTTGTAACGCTTGAGCTCTAATTTTGTTTACAATTTTTACTAACGTTCAAGTCGTAACGTTGTTTAGTTTTAGAAAATGTCCACATTCCTGACGGATAATGCAGTGGTCGCAGAGAAATTGCGGAAAACTTTAATCTTTCCGGCATAACGGTCTGTGTGGTGGTTTTAGTGAAGGGAAAATTTTGATTTTTTGGGAGGTCGAGATGATCATGTGCCGCACAGTATTGGTGAGTTCGCAACGTCTAGTGAACTACTAATTTTATGAAAACATGGCAAATCACTGTTCTGATTCTAATACGACGATCGGATGATCGAAACCAGCTATTTCTTGTACTGTTTTTTGTGAATGTAGCTTCCACATTTCTTGCGTACGAATATCAGCTGAGGTCTGCAACGTGATGCATGCGTCGTAGCGCAACTATGACGCATGCGTCTCTGCATGCACTCTTCGAAGCGCACCAATCGTTTGCGTCAAAAGGCAAAGAGACGCAGTGTTTCCCGCGACTTTTGGGAATTCGTTTGCGTTGCATTTTGCCTGTTTGCATTTTTACGTCAGAATGGAATGCAACAATGAGAAAACTATTGAATTTATCGACTCCTATCGAAATTTCACTTGTTTGTGGCGATGTGAGGATCCCAATTACAAAAACAGGATTATACGAAATGATGGTGGTCAGGAATAGTGTACAAAATACAGTATAACACCAAAGCAAGTCTTGAACAAAATTAAGAGCTTGAGGTCGTACTTACATAAGGAACACACAAAAGTTTCTAAGAAAAAAAGTGGAAGCGCAACCTCCGAAGTATACAAAAGCAGTTGGTTCGGTTATACTTCCATGTTATTTATTTTGGATGGTGATACGCAACGCAGCGGCACAGAAACTGAACTTGCAGAATATGACAGCCAAGAGAACACGAGTGAGAACGAGAGAAATAGGAAAATAGAGGTAAATTATTTTTTAAAACCGAAATGCAGTCACTTAAGTATTTGTTTATTGTTTTTAATATGGCATTCTGAAATACAATCAACTGTAAATGTTTACTACATAGTTGGTTTTTCTATGAAATAAAAATATTTCAGAAGAGAGTGAACATTTCATTACGGTATTATAATTCTGTAGTTACTATTGCTGGTTTACAAATGTAAACTACTTGTTGGCAAATGTTTCTTGCCATGAAACACTGCCTCCTTTTGATACAAAGTAGTTCATAAATTCTTCTCTGATTACCTTCGCATCACTTCCGGCCTTACGTGGAATTTTCCTAAAACTGATTATGCCTGTATCACCAGCGGTATCTCTTCTCCAAATACCTGGTGTTATTTCTCCTGTATCCACATTTTCGATATCTAATGTTCCTAGTGGAGAATATTTCTTTTGGCAACAGCATTTCTTCTTAAAAAGTTATGCATGTTAGTGCCTCTGCAGTATCTGGCTTCACTACTATCGGTTTTCTAAAAATTCGTAAAACTGCTGATAAAAGTCCGAAAGCATTTTCCACAATGCGCCGGGCTCTAGATAGCCTATAATTGTATATTCTCCTTGGACATCCTGCTGGTATATTAAGCGGAAATGGTTTCATAATATTGGTTGTCAAAGGAAAGATGTCATCTGCTACGATCAAATAAGGTTCTTTCTAAGTGCCTGCTCTTAGAAAGAGGTGTTGGTTTTGGTATATTTAATGCGTTATTAACCAAGTCTCTACAGAAAGAGGTAGTGTGGAAAACGCCCCCGTCTGACATTCGGCCCTGGAATCCTACATGTGCATATATGAATTTATAGTTTGAATCAACGATCGCCATTAAGACGATACTAAACGTTCCTTTGTAATTATAGAAGGAACTACCACTATTCGCTGGACACTGGATTTGTACATGCTTCCCGTCAAGAGCCCCTAAGCAGTGTGGAAAATTCCACTGGTTTTCAAAATCTTTAGCTATTTCGAGCCATTCATCTTCAGTTGAAGGAAGCTAAAAAAAATGTGTTTTGTTATTATAATATTTTATTTAAAAACTAAATTTTTATAACTAGAAAACATTTTCAGGTACTTGAACACGAAACTACTTCATCAAGTACAACTCAACAGGGTTTGGATTTTGCAACACCTTCATCAAAACGTAAACGCCAAAAAAAATCGGCGCAGGTAGACGAAGCGTACCATTTTTTGACAGAGGCAAAGGAAAAATTGACCAAACAAGATCGATTTTCCTATTTTGGAGAAGTAATTGCTTGCAAATTAAGAAGCTTAAATGACCCACGTTTACAAGCTAAAACCGAGTTTAAAATTAACAAAATTTTATTTGAAGCGGAACTGCAAAGTTTAAGCAGTCAAGCTATCCCACTATAGTGCGTTCAATCGATACTCTGCAAACAGATAATAGCGCCCCGGATCTTCCATTGTAAATTATGGGTTGTCCAATAGGTACGCAGGAAAGTAAACGTCAATTTGACATAGACGCCATCTTTGTTTTCTGTCACCGACATGTCATTTTGTTAGTTGAATGTTTACCATTGATCGCTATGGAGTCGTATTCGATTGAAGACCGCATTAAAGTTATTGAAGAGCACTACAAAAATGGTGCAAAAATAAAAAACACGTTTCGCGCGCTTCGTGAACATTTCGGTCGCAACAACCGCCCAAACGAAACAACCATCGGTCGTATGGTGCGTAAATTCGAGGCAACAGGTTCTGTGGTAAATCTGCCAGGCTCTGGCCGGCCAAGGAGCGTTCGCACACCGGAAAATATTGCTGTTGTGAAGGAGAGTGTGAGAGACGATCCGAAACAATCAACAACGTGTCGATCCCAAGAATTGGGCATTTCGAGAACCAGTTTGCTCCGCATTCTCCACAAGCATTTGAATCCACACGCCTACAAGATCCAATTGACGCAAGAGCTGCGTCGGGCCGACCAATTTTCGCGCCGAACGTTCTCAGATTGGCTCCTTGAACACCGCCAAATTGATGCCAATTTTTCATCAAAAATGATGTTCAGCGACGAAGCGCATTTCACTTTGAATGGGACGGTAAACAAGCAAAACTGCCGCATCTGGGCGAACGAAAATCCCCGTGAGTATCAAGAGCAGCCGAAGCATCCTCAAAAAGTGACTGTGTGGTGTGCATTGTGGTAAAAGGCATCATCGGACCTTACTTTTTCGAAAATGCGGCCGGGGACGCCGTTACCGTCAATTCTGAGCGATATCACGTGATGATAGAGGACTATTTTTTGCCGCAACTTGAAGGAATGGATATGGACGATGTTTATTTCCAACAAGACGGTGCAACATGCCACACAACCAACGTCAATATCCATCGACTGCAGTCCTTCTTCGGTGATCGCGTGATTTCGCGCAGAGGAAATGTGCCATGGCCACCAAGATCGTGCGATTTGACTCCCTTGGACTTCTTTTTATGCGGATATTTGAAAAGCAAAGTAAACGTTAGCAAACCAGCCACCCTCCAAGAAGTCAAAAACAACATCATTGCCGAGATAAATGCCATAGAACCGACCATGTTGCAAAATGTCATTGAAAATTTCGACCATAGCGTGGACGTCTGTAAATCCAGTCGTGGTGAACATTTGAGCGATATTATTTTTCATACATAAATGGTATAAATGAACCTTCAAAATAAAGTACCCAACTTGATTTGAATATCAATCTTTCTTGTTTTAATATGCGTTTACTTTCCTGCGTCTGTTTTGGACAACCCCATAGTTATGAATGCTCAAACTCAACTACTCCAGAAATGCTCAGACCAAACTCAGAAACGCTAAATAAGTGGCCAAGCTGTCCTACTATGGTTCGTGACACTCAACTCGGTAATAGCTGCACTGGATCTTTAACTAATAATTCTAGGTGTGAATTTTCTAACATATTCAGCCCAAATTCAGAAATGCTTCCAAATGATATTACTACGGAATCCAACCAGAATTCTGCGCTAGTACAACTACAAGTTATTCAACAACTGAATCCTGATATGGCAGAATTTTTGAATATTCATAAATAATACTTTTTAAGTAAAGTTTGTTATCTTGCTCAAAAAAAGACTATTTAGATGTTAAATTAGTTTGTATATTGGGTTTCTCGTATAAAGTTAGTTTTTCTACTTTGGAAGTACATTAACCTTCTTACCTTAACATATCCTTCCAAAACTTGATTCAGGGCATTACACACTTCAGGTATAATTAGTAAAATAGTTGAGTCAGAAATTTAAATTAAAATCCTGTATGAATCTCCGCTAAATATCTCAGACAAACTGCCAGTCTTACTTTTTCGGGAATAGCTTCTCTCATATTTGTATTTGCTTTTCAAATAATTGGCCCAACCATTGACAAAAGTTCTTCAAAATCAGTAGATGACGTCCTAGTAAAGTTTTGAAAGAACCAACCGGCATCTAACAGCATTTTTTCTATAAAGGAATAGCTATGTTTTGTTTTCAGCAATTCCCGTATCCAACACCTGCGTTTATTACGTTGTTTATTTCTCGCTATTATGATAAACGCAGCACCCAAACTTCAAAACATACATGTTAAATTATTCAACACGCACCGATACAAATTTAGGTGTAAATAATATGTTACACGATATAAAAAGGCGACGGTTTTGTGCGCTATATTGCATACGCTGTTGCAAAAAGAAGCACCGTCTAAATCTAGCTTAAAGGTAATAAAAACGCCTGGCCTTTTTTGGTATTGTCCGAGCTGTAGGGATCGTCGAAGAAATTATGAGAATTTTGTGGAAAATATACTGCAAGACAAAGTTTAGAATCTCATAACAGGAGTTTATGAGCTATTTTCGGAGGCACGATCTAAGCCCGTGAACAAGATTAAGGAAGATGCAGAACACGCTGCTAGAGAAGCACCACTCCTCCTTACGCAACAGTTGCCAAAAAAATATGAATGTTGTTATAAAACCGAAAAATATGAATCAGTCCCACACTGAGACAAGAAACACTATTCGTCGGAATGTTAACCCTATTGAAAATAATATTAAATTTTCCCAAGTAAAAACTGGTTTGGTCATTACATGTGATGATTCAGATGACGCTGGCAGACTCCAGGAGCTCGTTTCTCAACATTTGTCTGATGAATACGATGTCAAGGAAGTCAAAAAGCACAATCCGAGAGTGAAAATCGTTGGCATGTCTGAGATGATTTCTCACGACAAATTGGTTGAAATGTTGACATCTCAAAATCGTATATTTGGGAAATCTAGTGAATGCAGAGTTTTAAAGGTATGGCCAACGCTGAAGCGAGCTGAAATTCATCAAGCTGTTTTGGAAGTGGACCCTGTTACGTATTCTAGTTTGTTAGATAAAGGTAATGTGTTGGTTAATGTTGACAGTTGTGAGGTGTACGATGCCCTAAAACTAAAAATTTGTTTTAAATGTTGTGGTTTAAATCACTAAGCAAAAGACTGTATAAAACTGATCAAGTCTGTATGAAATGTGCGGGAAGTCATAAGATTTTCTGATTGTAACTCGGTTCAACTGAAATATATTAATTGCATTTCTGCCAAGAATCCTGAAGTAGATCATGCTTGGTCTTCATAATCAGGAACTGTAGAGATTTTAATAATTCAAGGACCAGGATTCTGTTGTACAATTCTTTTGTGAGATCTAAAATTTGCTACCCTGTTTATGAAGTGCATCGCAATAACGTCGAAGATATTCAAAGGCGGGTTGCGAAATATCTGTGGTACAGAGAGGATGGTACCTATCCACCAATTGGTCTCAGACACGATGTGTTGCTAAGTAGGATTAATATGTCCAATTTAGGAAAGCGGAGAAATTATGCTGCTTGTATATTTTTATGTAAATTACTAAGTAATATAATTGACTGTGAATACCTACTTGGTAAATTTGCTATACATGTACCTTATGTTAAGACTCGAGCAAATGTCAAATATTTTTACCTCACTGTACCTAAAAGCAATGCATTACTTTTCTCTCCTATTCATGTAATGTGTAAAAGTTATGAATGTATTAAGGACCGCGTAGATATATTTTTCTGTAATATGTGTGAAATTAAAAGATGTTTTCTTACCATAGGTTAAGTCTTTCTTGATCATAAGATATATGTATATTGTATATGATTGTATTACCAGCATTCTAGATACATATTTGTGAATTTCCTATCCGTGAACTGGCATAGACTGTTCGGATAGTGTGAACATGAAAAATAAATAAATAAATAAATAAATAAGTAGCCCCACGAGACACTTCTCACGACCCACCATAGTAGTAGCGCCATCGGTTGTCAAGCCAACCATTTTCGATATTGGAATTTTCTCAGGAGAAATAGTATTTTCAAAAGAAGAAAACAAGTCCTGCCCAGTGGTCTGTCCTTTTAGTGAATAAACTTCAAAAGATCTTCTTTAATCGTAAAATCACTAAAACCGTCCTGACGAACACGACCGGAGAGGTGTCAACGACATCTGTGGATTCATCCAGCTGCACTGAAAAATAAGCAAAGTTATCGAAGACATTTCTTAAGTGTAAAAATATATCATTGATCATTACTCCTACTCGCCTCATCACTGTATTAGCAGAAAGTTGTACAGATTTTATAGTATATACTATCTCGTCTTTATTTCTAAAAGTGGTAAACAATGAATCTGCTGCTTCTAAAATGCCTGTTTTATCATTTCCCCGTCTTCATAAGGTTTCTTCTTTTGTGTAATTATCTGGTACACCCGGTATGATGCTTCAGTTGCAGACTTACTTTTGTCGATTGTTTTTAAAAACATTGTATGTTGTCCAATTAACTGATTTTTTAATTGTTTCAGTTTTTCCGCTCTGGTTGCAGAACGTAATGAGAATGATTTTTCAAAACTCGAATGTAGAGTTTTATAGTGCCTCTTGATTTTCCTTTTTTTAGCAACGGAAGCAGATGAATTACATTACAAACATACATTTTTACCTTTAACTTCTGTAAAGAAATATTGTTCTTCTCATTCCGAATGAAAATGGTCTGTCTTAATCTTCTTACTACTTCTCATAATGTTTTTAATTGCAGGCCCACTCTAACCCAACCGCTTGACTTTGTTTTAAACTGAGCGCACTGTCAAAGTAATCGAGATCGTTCTCGAACAGATCACTCACCGAAGTGTTGCCGTTGCTTGTGTTTATTATGAGAATTTACAAAATTTACGGAAGCTTCCATGATTTTTACGCCTTTCTAAAATATGTTGTGATCTAGTGCTTGGAATTTGAACTAGTGGTTATGTTGAAAACTAAAATCTTATTTATAACGTGTGAAAAGCTGCCTTCGATTCTAATTTTATCGGCCCATGAGATATTTAGGATCCTATGGTAATTTCGTAT